AAAAAAAAAAAAAAAAAAAAAAAAAAAAAAAAGGGTTTATGCACAGGCTCAAAATAATCTTTGTGCCCCACATGTACAGCACACAATCATATCTTACATAAAGGAATTGTCGTGGCTTGTATCTAGATGTCTCCCCAAAGCCTCATGTGGCCAAGGTGGGCTTTTTGAAGGTGGCTGCATCTAGAGTGTGTGCTGCTGAGATCAAGGATGGGAAGCTGGGATTAAGGGTGTGAGGGCTCCCTGTCCTAAGGACTGGCAGCCTGGAAAAGATACAAGGGACAGAAGGTTGCTGCTTGTCGCTTCTTGCTTCATACTTCACTGCTTGCTGTCTTCTGCCTCATGAACTGTTTCTCCTCTGCCCTGCCGCCCTGCCTTGGAGCCAGGCAACTATGGACCGAAACCTCTACAAATTGTGAGCCACGTAAACCTTTCCTCCTCTAACTTTAGGTGTTGGGTATTTGGTCTCAGCAATGGGAAAAGTAACTCAGACAAGAATGGGTAGGGTGACATGTAGTTTTAGCAAAATAATATGATTGTATCAGTGGAAAAAATATTTTAAGTGCTTTAGTTTCATGTATTTATTAATGAATGAATGAATGATTTTTTTGTTGTTGTTTTTGAGGTAGAGTCTTGCTATGTAGTTTAGGCTAACCTTGAACTCACTGTGTAGCACTGGCTGGTTTAAACTAGTGATGATCTTCCTATCTCAGCCTCATAAATGCTGGGATTACAGGCGTGTATCACCATGCCCTGCCCAGTTTTTAAATTAAAATTAAAGTTAGCAAAAATTTAAAATTTGGCTTCTTCATTTCCAAGGTTCAGTTACCACCTGTGCCCGAGGCTCCCACAACAGCCGATGGCGAGCCCAGGCCGTCAGGCTGGGAATGTTAGTCCCCTCACTGGGGAAGGTGAAAGGCACTGCAGTGGAGCACAGGGAAAACCTAGAGGCCAGGCAGGAGCGGGGCAGAAATCAGGGCTTGGGATAACAAGTGGCTTACAGAGATGACCAGGTCACAGCGAGACATGAAGGAAGAAACACGGGGGATCTGGGTGGTACAGGAGAGGAAAGGGTCCGCACACACACGCACACGCACGCACACGCACGCACGCACGCACTCACGGCTTATCTCTCCATTCTGTTCAGTGACTGTCTCGTTCACCTCCATTCTTTTCTCCCCTAGCCAGCGAGTCAGGTCTTTCCTGCACACTGCAGTCCCGCCTGGCAGGCAGGGCAGGCAGGGCAGGCAGGGCTGGCCCCTCTGTGTGTCCCGGCGCTGCTCTGAGCACACAAAGCGCTGCACTCAAGGCCCCAATTCTTCTCAGAGTCTACGTTCGTGCAAGCTTGTGGCCTTTAAAGTCCCCGCCCCGGGAAACTTGGCAGCTGTTTGAACCGTTGTGGTGAATTAATCCAGGTATAATGAAATGTACCTTTTCTTCATTATTGTTTCTCGTAGTTCAGTAGAGCTGGGAAAGCTCATAAAACGCACGCTGATTAGCTGGAAGCCGCGTCGGACAGAAGGCTGGGAAACCCTGCGCGTCAGCTCTCTCCACTCCTCATTCCTAAATTCTGCGGCATGAGTTGATTCCCATGTCCCCGATGCCAGTCCTGAGCCTCCTCCTAAACCCGGTCTCCATCCGGCATCCTCTCCTTCCCCTCCCTGTGCACCGGCGCTTTTGCAGTCCGTGGCTGAAGTCCTTTGCCGAACTGCTGTGAGCCTCCCTCCCACCCGCACGCCTTTTGACTCTCTTCTGCCGAGCTTCCCGACCCTAAGCCCCCTAGCCGTGCCCTCTTCCCTGTATTTTTGCATGGTTTGAGACCGTGGCTTAAAAATGAAACTGGACTTTATTTAGTGTGATCTTTGCCTTACAGAATAATTGGGCTGATCGTCCGCAGCGTTCGAAATACCACGCCCCACCACACCTCCGGCTCCGGCGGCGCTTTTCCCTGGTGTTCACAGCTCTCCTGTAGCGTGTTGCGGTTGTTGCCATGGATAAACCGGTACCGATAATTACTAAGCCAAAGCTACAGTTTACATTAGGGTTCACTCCACGTTGTGCAGCCCCCTGGAACCGGTACCCAGCTCTATAGGGTCCTACAGCATAGTTTCACCCCGCTAAAGATCCCCTCCAGCCACAGCCTTTTGATCTGATCCCAACTCTTGCTAGCTTGTAAGCTCCGTGAAGGTGAGGTTTCTTTAAAAATCCATTTCGCTCACTGTGGTACCGCTCCTATAAGACTGCTGTCTTAACCTGCTTTCTGTTGCTCAGGTGAAAACACCTGAGAACTGGTGATTCCCCAGAGCGGAAGTGGCGGCGTTGGTCAATCTCTTTTCATTACCTTCTCCCTATGGAGCCTCATTCTGTCCCCTGTACCCAGCGCCTCATGAGATTTTAAACACCGTGTACCCCGTGTGCCTGTTTCTGCCTTGCGTGGCGAAGGTGTCTGCCCATGGGGTGCAGGTGCCCCCTGGAGACCCCTCTCTGTTCTCTGAAATGGAGGGGGACAGGGATGCGCCTTTTGCAGGAAGCCAATTTGCGAGGAACGGGGGGCTAACACATGGAAATGGGGACGCGAGACTAGGAGGGGACACAGTCCCTGTGTCCAGGTGACCCAAGGGCTGAGGGCAGAGGTGGCACTTGTGTCTGCCATAGCCGTGCATGATGTCGGGCTCGGGGATACCTGGGCTCCGCTGAGTGACAAGCCTGTCACCAGCTCTGTGCATGATCTCCATGTGGAAAGGGCCTGGTGTGGTTATCTGGTTTCTCCCCATCGTGTGGCTGTCCTCTGAGGGATGGCGACCTGGGGAAGGGGAAGGCGGGGCAGGCAGCAGCCAAAGGGCTCTGCCCAAAAGAGCACAGTCCAAGGGCCAGGAGAGGCATGCCTTAGGGCTGGCAGTGAAATGAGCCGCTCTGCTATGAGCTTTCTGAGCCTCGTTGTCTGCATCTGTAAAATGGGTCTGTTGGACTAGATAACTTTTTGGCACATGAACTCTTTCCTGAAACAAACTCTTGCACACAATCTCGGAATGGAAAACAGACAGTAGCAGGGCTGCCTCTCGCCATGGGGGAAAGGAAACCACAGTCCCATCTCGGACCCCCGCCCTGCAGCCTCTCTGCCTGGAATTTCCTGGAATCTTAGGAGTCCTCCAGGCACAGCTGAAACCCAACTGAAATCTGAGGGCCTCGTAGGTACCTTCCTGGTGGAAAACCTGTGTCTCTTATCCCAAGAGCTTCTGTGGGGCCTATCCTCGTGCTTATGTCTCCTGCTAGCCCCAAAATTTCACCTCACATTGATCTTTCTGTGTCACCTCTGCACCTTCCTCTGGGCAAGTCACTAAACGTTAGTATAAGCAGTGGTTCCCATGCTGCGTTCTGTCCTCCACGGCGTTCATCCATGAGCACCATCCTGTGCCTGCTAGACCTGTGCCCAGTGATGGGTGGCAGTCTCCACCCTCCAGGGGCACAGTCGGAAAGTGACTGTGAAGCAGAAACCCTGGCTCTGTCTGTGTCCTAGGGCCTCAGAGCATGCATAGGAGTGTGATTAGAAAGAGCTCAGCTCAGAGATCCCGGAAGGGAGAAGGCACCCGACAAAAGATGACTTTCAGGAAGAAGAGACTTGAGCTAAGTGTAAGGTGTCAGCAGTGATATAGCCAGGAATAGGAAAGGAGAAAGTAGTTTGGGGCCGAGGGACCATCGTATGTAAAGACTTTCTGGTCCCAAAAGCCCTAAAGATTCTTAAGTTGGGTCTGGGCAAAATTCCAGAAGGCTCTCTCTTTCCAGGGTGTATACAGACACTTCTGTATGGGGAGGCTCTTCCAGACCCCCTTTTGTCCCCAGAGGCCCCACGTCTTATAGAGCAGGACGCTTGCATCAGCGGAGGAGGAGTCTGACCGGGGCGTCGGCAGGGTGCTGGAGATGAGAGGTCCCCTGCGTGGTCCTGTGGTCTCCTCACCCTGAGGCCATCTGTGGTCGGCTTTCCCTGACCCTGGAGGCGCTGAACAAATGTCATCCCCGAGCCTGAGCAGTCCTTGGTGCAGCCCTGGTCCTAGCAAAGGGTCTGCGGTGTTCTGAGGCACTGCTCGGTGCAGAGCAGCCCCTGGGCAGGGCTGGGCACCAAGCTCTGGGGCCTCCTCTATCCTGGGTCCCCGGGACAACCCCTGTCTGCATGTCTGTCTGCTCACCACGGCAGCAAGGACTCTAGCATTAGTACAGATCTCCCAGGTTGGCTGCCTGGCTCCTTCCTGCATTGCGCCCAGACTGAGCCAGGGGCAGATTTCACTGTGCTGGTCCTGCTGCAGGTGTATCTGTGAGTGAGAAACGTCTCATGCTCAGACAGGGTGGGGTCTGGGCCTTGAGCTTCTGGGACGGTGGCTGCACTGGGACTTTGGCATTTCCCTCCAGGGCTGCGCTGAAGTCAGGGAGTTCGCTGAGTGGGTTATCTCTGATTTCCATTTTCCTCCTGCGACAGGTGCCCTCCTTTGGCACAGCCCATCTGATTGCACCCCACGACCCGCCAGGAGTTCCCCTTCCAGATAACCTGTAATCAGTAATATTTATGGCCTTTCAGTTTAATTACACGCTGGCCAAGTCCCATAATGGACCTGTTGTGTCACTTCGGAAAGGGCAGGGGTGTGGGGGGTCAGTGAGGCCACTGGATTGGACCTTCACCCGCCTCTCTTTTCACAGGTACGGGGGAGATTGAGACACAGAAGGAGGGTTAGGCTGTTATCCGGTGCCAATCATTGAACGACCTAATAGCCTCCTTTGATAATTTATGGTCAGGAGGTGTAGTGATTAATGCACACACCCCGAGAAGGTTCACCGGGTTGAAACCCCGGTTCTGCTGGGTGAGCTGCAGTTGCGTCTTGCGCCTCATCTACCTTATCTGAAAAACGAGTCGTAAAAACCCCTTCAGATTTTGAGGGGATCAAATGAGTGAGCCCAGAGAAAGCACTCAGAACGGTGCCCCATGGACGTTAGCGTGGGCCGGGCATTTAGCTCAGTGGGCTCCACACCTCCCCCGATGAGTATCAGCAGCCCTCTGTCCACACCGCGTGGGCACGTAGGCCGATGATAACCCTTTAATCCAGAGCCGTCCTGCTCTTGAGGTTAATGCGCTAGGCCTTCTTTCGCCTCCCGTTTCTCCTAGCTGGGGTTGTCCATGAACATGACGTAGACTTCACGGGGCGCCTAACCTCCTCCCCTTCCCACAGAGCAGCTGTCTTACAGTTGTTCTTTGGCGGGGTGGAACGGGGGATCAAACTCAGGACTCTGCACTTGCGAGGCAGGTGTGGCGCTACTGAGCTAAATCCCCCACTCTGTTTTACACATTTTTAAAAATTCATTTTTAAATACCATAAGTACCAACTCCCCAGGATGAATGCAATCATTATACATTACAGACACGTGCCAATGAAAAAGAAAGTGGTAGGGGGGAAAAAAGAAACAGAACACTGCCATCGTGTGTGTGTGTCCCAATTCCCCGTGCGTATTGCATTCAGTATGTGTCACAAACGTACACGTAATAAACTAATGAAACATTTTTAAGAAGAAGCTCATGGTCCCCGTCTAAGGTTCGTGCATGCTTTGTCCCAGGTAGGAGCCTCAGCACCCACCGGGCGATCTCCTTTCCGATTTCAGCCCTCATTTCCTAGCTTTGTGTTCTCTGAGCTCCTACAGATGCCACCTGGCAGTGGTGTGCTGGCGACTGCCTGGGGACTCCCTGTCCCATCGCGTTGTAAAGCCCTCTTTATACCTACCTGCTTCCCTGACCATCGCTGCTGACTTAAAGCTATCAAAGCATGGCCACCGAATAGGGCACCGGAAATAGACGGGCATGAAAATGTGTTTTTACAGTGCTTCCACCAAACAGAGGCAGTGGATGTAAGTTCAGCTCGTACACAATCCCAGAACTGTAGTACAGTAATCAGAAAGTAAAGACTTTTGAGCATTTACTGCATTGCCCCTGTTTGACTAATTGTAAGTTTACGTAATTTAGGGGCCGGGGATGTAGCTCAGCGGTGCCGTATCCGCCTGGCAAGGATGAGATCCTGAGTTCAATTCTCGGTACTGGAAAAACAAAGTTTGTATGATTTAGTTGTTAAGAAAGTTCGTATTTAGTGCTACGATTTATACCTAGATGATCCCTGAAAACCTCATGTGTTTGTAGGTGGGGCTTTTGCAAGGTTCCTGGATCATAAGGGCAACACTTATCAGTCCACTGAGGAGTTCACAGAAAGTGTGATTTGGGAGGTGGAGCCTGGCTGGAGGGGGTGGTCACAGGGGCCTGGCTGGAAAGACCCACCTCTTTTCCTCCACCCTGGGTCACTCTCTGCTTTCTGCTGCCCTGCCATGAGCTGTTTCTCCTCTGTGATGCCCTCTGCCATTCCGCCCTGCCTTGGAGTCAGCCAGCTATGGACTGGAACCTCTACAACTGTGAGCCCAAATAAACTTTTCCTCCTTTTACTTTGGGTGTCAGGTACTGTGGAGTGTTCTGCCGGGAGAAAGTAACCAAGGCATTTAGCAATTGGCTTATAAAATTTCTGACAAAAAGATAATAGTCCATTCTCAGGTCCCTAGAGCTGTCCTCAGTACACTGGTGAATCATACACGTCAGGTACTGTTCTTCTGTGTGGGTTTCATTCTCTTAGCAACTGTCGTAACATGTGGGAGTCATCCCTGCCATTCTGCATGAGTCATTTCTTTTTATTGCTGTGTAGTACTCCATCACAAGACATGCTGCCATTTATTTATTCATCCTTCTCTTGCTGGCCATTGGGTTCTTCCCTGGGTTTGGCTGCTAATTAGTTTTAATTATAAAGCAGTATGATCACTCATATACATACATTGTAGAGACATTGTAGAGTAGCCCATTGGATTTATTCCTAGGTGTGCTTTTGCCAGTTGTAGGCATTCATCTTGATATGTCCACTTCATTGGTTAAGAAATGCCCAGGAGATTAATAGAGCACCTCCTGGCTGTGTCTAGGTGGGTTATAGAGGCATGGCCTTGGGCACTATACGTAGTCCCTCATCTTTAATCTCACACTATTCCCTGCTCTGATGCTTTGCTACCTGGCTAAACAGGTTTGCTCTACCACACCCTTCCTCCATGATGACCCTGCCTTAGAGCCATCTGACCATGCACTGAACCTCCCAAACTGTGAGCTGAATTCAGTCTTTCCTCCTTTAAGTTGTGTGTTGGGTGTGGTGTCCAGCAACGAGAAAGCTGACTGAAACACTAGGTCTTGGTTTGTTACCAGTGGACACCGCCAAGGGTTTTTCCAGGTCTAACCGGCGTTTCTCTCCATCTGCAGGGTCTGAATGTTCTACTGCCCCACATTTTTGTTAAAAGTGAAATGGCAGTATTTGCAGTGTTTGCTAGCCTGTGAATTATCTCAGGGTGATTTTAATTGGCATTTTCCTGACACGTAATGATGTTGAGCTTTTATTGAGTTTGGGTTGCCATTTTTCTCTCTAACAAGAGTGTAAACTCAGTTTTAGAAAATGTTACCGGGGCTTATGGCTGGTGTTATTCAGCTTCGCTTGGCACTGGCTGCTATTCTGTTACTCGGGTTCTTTCCAAGGAAAGTGAGTATTGAACACTTGTTAGCATTATTTTTTTTTTTGAGACAGGGTATTGCTGTGTGGTTTAGGTTGGCCTTGAACTCACTGTGTAGCCAATACTGCCTTCAATCCTCCTGCCTCAGCCTCCCAAGTGCTGAGATTACAGCGCTTGGCCCGAGAGGACTATTTATGACTAGCATGATGACACTTAAGGCCAGTCTTGGGTGGCTCTGGTATCCTATGATGCTCTCAAGAACATATCTCTGAAAGGAGCCCAGGCAGCAGAGTGTGTGGCACTGGAAGGCTCTAAGGAGTAGGGGCCAGAGACTTGAGGTTCAGTTCTAATCCCTCTTTTTAACGGTGGAAACTTGAAGAGTAACAGAGGCTCTGGATCCTCAGGTTGTTCATGTTAGAAAGGATAAGAGTTGTTCAGGGGATCCAGAGAGGCATGGAGGTCAATGAAATGGTGGGCAGGTCCCATAGGATTGTGGGGCATGCATGGCATTGTGGGAGGTGCCATGGAATTGTGGGAGGACATAGTGTTGTCCCTGGGGATGCTGGAGCAGACCCTTTGGGCTTCCTCAGGGAACCAGCTAACTCCAAGATCCTTCCCTAGATTCTGCATACTGACTTTTCTGCCCTTGTTCTAGGCTTTTCCAGTGGAAAATACCAAGGCAGAAAGAAAGTGGCTTTGAAAGTGGTTTGAATGTTTCTCCCTCCCAAACTCATGTTGAAATTTAACTGGTATTGTAATGGTACTAAGTGATGGGCTTTAAGAGGTCATTAGACCAACGGGGTATCATTCCGTCAAAGGAAGAATAAAATCTTGTCATTTGAAGCTGGGTATAGTGGTAGACACTTGTAATCCTAGCACTCAGGGGGCTGCGGGAGGTGAATCACCATGAGTTTGAGGCCAGCCTGGGCTGAATAGTTCAAGGCCACTCTTCACTGCATAGCAAGACCCTGTCTCAAAAAGGAGGAGGAGGAGGACGAGGAGGAGGAGAAGGAGAAGGAGAAGAAGAAGGAGGAGGTGGAGGAGGGGGTGGAGGAGGAAGAGGAAGAGGAAGAGGAAGAAGATGAAGAAGAAATTTTTGCCACTTGCAAGAAAGTGGATAGACCTGGAGATCGTCATGCTGAGCAAAGTAAGCCCTGCTCAGAAAGACAAATCTGTAATATCCCTAATATGTGGAATTTAAGATGACAAGAAAGCAGCAGGAGACTATTATTGGATAAGAGGAAGGAAACAAAGGGAATAAGAGGGAGGGGTGTAAGTGTAGGTCCTGGGGGGTGGGTACAAGCTAAGTACACACACTGAGCCCCCAACACCAATGTAAAGCTCAGGGGAGGTGGGCAAGGGGCTGATTGGGAGTGGAAACGATCGAAGTGTGTTACGTGCATGTGCAGTTCTGCCAACCTGAGGCCATCAGTCTGTATAACCAATAAAGGAGTGACATGAAAAGAGGTGATTAGGCCAAGAAGACTCTGCCCCTGTGAATGGATAAATGCTGTTACTGTGGGGGTGGCTTCCTTTTGGTGTTTTGCTTTGCTGTGTTGAGACAGGGTCTTGCTGTGTAGTTCAGGCTGAACTTGAGCTCACTGTGTAGCCCAAGCTGACCTCAAACTTGTGTTGACCCTCCTGCTTCAGCCTCCCGAATACTGGAATTAAAGGTGTGCATCACCTTATCTGGCAGGAGTGGGTTCCTCATGGTTTTTTTTGGGGGGGTTGTTGAGACAGGATCTCTCTGTATGGTCCAGGTTGGCCCTGAACTCACTATGTAGCCCAGTGGCCTGAAGTAATGGCGATGCTCCTGCCATGTGCCACCTTACCTGGCCTCTCTCACCTTTTCTTTGCCCTTCTGCAATCAGATGATACAAGAAGACCATCACCAAATGCTGATTCCTCAACCTTGAGCTCCCCAGTAAATTCCTGTTTGTTATAAATGATCTATGCTGCAATATTCTGTTCTAGGTCACAGAATGGACTAAGACAAAGGAGACCTCGCTACAGCCATCTGGAAGCCTCAGACCTCTAGCCAGGTCCATGCAAGGGATGAGCACAATGGTGTGATGTTGTAATATGTTCATCCATGCCCTAAAGGAACTGGTGTCCATGGAGAAAGGGAGAAGATGGCCTGAACTTTCTGAATCCACTGTGCCTTTGGTAAGACGAGCTTCCATGGAGAGAGTTTGGTAAACCTTTAACAACAATGGAAAGTTTGACCCATTTTTAAATTCTAAAGCCCATGAATGCTCACTGAAGGAAATCTTGCAAATTTAAATATGAAAAAAGAAGAAAACAAATCCAGACTGCCATTTCCCAAAGTCAATTACTGTTAACAATGTCCACACCCACACTTTCCCACTTAGCATCATAATGTGCCTTTCATAACTGTCTCACCCAAGCCCAAGTGTGCTGGGGCAGCAGAATAGTTGCCAAGCGACTGACCAAAAGAGACCTGGAGATGGCCACTGAAAGTAGGATTATTATGGCATCAGTACGAAAGGATAGTGTCCCACAGGCGGCACACCAAGGTGCACACTGCAGTCAAATCCTATAACAACCCTATAAAGAACAATGAATCATAATGAGCCCGCTCATAAAAGCAAGCAGGCTGAATGTCTTTCCAGGTAGCAGGGAAACATTGCGACCAAATGGGAACAGGGTTGACGTTAAGTTTATCTATAGCTAACATGAGTTTGTAGCTCATGCAGAACTAAAGATACTTAGGAGAGGTATCAGCGATGGATAGATACAGAGATAGAGTCAGAGGTAGAGATGGAGCTAATAGAAATAGAGCCCATAGAGATAGATATAAATCCAGGTAGCATTTTGTTCCATGAGGCACAGATGGCTTCCTGTGTTGCCCTCACACATAGTGCATGATCAGACATATTGTATCCCGGCAAAGGCTATGTTCCTATGCTCCCGGTGTGACCATCTCAAGATCTGCATTCTCCAGTGGTAGTTCGGGGTTTCTGGGAAGATGATGGCGTGGTGAACAGCAGAGAAACAGGCTTTCTGAGATTTGGTGTCCGACACTGGAATACAGCCATGTGAGGAGGAGAAGAAAGAGGGAGGTGGGTCCCTGGAACCTAGCAAGGATCTGAAATGAGAGTTGAAGCCCACTGGGAGAGAGAGGAGAGAGATCCCAACAAAGAAGAAGGAGGCAGCAAGCAGTGAGCGCTTTCTTCCTGAGCCTCAGTTCTCAGTGTGGGAAGGGCAGCTCAAACTCCTGGAGGCACAGTAATACTGGCGACCTCAGAGGCCTCTGTGGAGAGATGCACCAGTGGACGCAGTGGACTGCAGTAGCTGTGCGTTATTCTGGTTCAGATGTCCCTCGGGAGAGGGTGATAGGCCAGTGGGCATCTTGGAGAGCCACTGGCTGGCTCCATCAGGGTGAGGTGGAACCAAGTTCGAGTTAGCGAGAAGTCAAGGAGCCAAGTTCAGGTCAGCGGAGACATATATAGTGTTGCAGACTGAATAAATTAAGTTCCAGCCTCACAACCAGAAAACAGCCTAAGCTTCAGAACTAAAGGTGTAGGTTTTCTGGGATGATTCACTGCCCTGCCGTAAATCTATGGCTGGGTTGTTGGGATTCATCAGCGCTCTGTGTCTCCAATTTGTGTACCAGTGACAGCAGAGACATGCCTTGTAGTGGACATGTCTGTCTTCTGTTTTGTTTGTTGTTGTTGTGGTACTGGGGAGCAATCAAACTCAGGACCTTACACTTGTGAGGCAAGTGAGGTGCCACTGAGCTAAATCCATGACCTGGACATGATTTTTTTCTTTTTTTAAAAAATCTTTTCTTGTTTTTGTTTTGCTTTCATTCCTTATTTCTGGATTTTTTGTTCTTGTTTTGTGTAAACGTGAACTTTTTTTTGGCTGTGGTGGGGTTTGAACTCAGGACCTTGCACTTGTGGGACAGGTGGCAGCACCACTGAGCTGAATCCCCGGATGTTACTCCTTTCATTTCCTCCTTCTCTCCCTCCTGCCCTCTTCATTAGTCCCCCAAAGTTGGCGTAATCTTCCTTTGTCCTCCAGCCTTGCTTCTAATCTCTTTCTCTTCTATTTCTCCAGTTCCCCCCACTAACCCCGTTTAATTTTCTCCCCTGAGTGTACAATCACCATAGTGAGGGCATGTTTACTGCGTACAGCTTTCTGGTTTGTTTTATATTTTGTTATATAACCGCAAATCTAATTTATACGGTCAGAGGTGGCAGGCGAATCAATAGTTACCACACTTTGTCATTTTCTAGGCTGTGTTTGATGTTACTGTTATTGCTCATTGTACTACTTTAGCCATGATGACAAAAGTTTTCTGATCAGTTGTTCCTCCTGGTGTGCCAAGACTGAGACGACCGTAGGGCCATACACAAAACTACAGGCCAGTGCCCAACAGCCAGGGGCTAGGCCAAATGGGCAGCAACCTCTCATCTCCAATGGTAGTTCTATCAGATTAGGAGCAAACTGATTCGAAACAAACTTGTAATTTTGCCAGTCTCTTGTGATAGTTATCATCAGGCACTCTTGTAAGAATCTTTCCTTCCCAAACTCTTGGCTCTAGTTTTGGGTTGGGTTCAGGGTCATCACTGATAAATCATTCAGTAGTTATGTTTTTATTTGTCTCTTGTCCCCAGAAGACTATTCCATTTGTTAGTCTTAGCTGGCCTCCCATCAGAGGGGAAGTGATTGGCAGTTGCCAGTACCATCTGAACAACAAAGAGGTATAGAAAGAAGCTGGGTGTAGTGGCTCACCCCTGTAACCCCAGCACTCGGGAGGCTGAGGCAGGAGGATCGCTGTGAGTTCGAGACCAGCCTGGGCTACATGGTGAGTTCCAGGTCAGTCTCAACTACATAGTGAGACCCTGTCTCAAAAAAAAAAGGTATAGAAGGAGCAGCTCTGAGGCTAAACTTACCTGGAGTCTGCTGTTAAATTTAATCTCATCTGTTTTTGTAGGCAATGACCAAGATCTCATAACACTGGGCCAGGGATTTAGCTCAGTGGTTCTGCTGCCTGCCTTGCAAGTGTAAGGACCCTAGTTCAATCCCCGTGGGTAAAAAAAAAATCTCAAAACACTGACTCAGATAATTTCTTAGGGATTTATACTTCTGGAATTTCTACAGACCTCAATTAACAAATTTTACAAGGAAAATACAAAAGAAACTAATAAGATTAAAATACATTCATTTTATATTACCTAAAAATGTGACTTTTTCAATTTTTACCAAAGATAATCAAAGTGTGAATTGATTTGTCTGCATTACTTGTTAGAGTCTTCCATGAATTTGATTGCTAATGCGTTAGATAAAAATCAAAACTGTGGATAACGAAAGACTTAGAATACTGATAAGTTTAGCAATTGACAAGACAATTTCACTATTTACTTTATATGGTATTTTAAGTGGACAATTATTAATCAGGCCCATCAGGCTCTCCATTGATTACAGATGGATTACAGGTGACTGACAGCCACTACTACTTTTTTTTTTTTTTGGACCAGGGGTCGAACTCAGGACCTTGCACTTATGAGGCAGGTACAGTGCTACTGAGCTAAATCCCCAGCCCAGCTACTACTTTTAAATATCAGAGTGGCACTGACTTTAATAGGTCCATATTGTTTAATAGCACTGACAAAGAAATCAAAGAATAATTTTAGATCTTTTATAAATTTAGGAAATTTTTCCAATGACCACAAAAAGATTACCTGATGTATGAGTGAAAGCGTATTTAATCAAAGCAAACAGGCTTTCAGTGTCAGGACTGTCCAAATGGCAAGGTTTTCCCTGAAGTACTATAATGAAAACCTAATGAAGACAGCAGAGAACAGAAAAAATTAATAAATCTTTGTTTCCTATGCCACTTTTATACATTTTATTGAGATCAATATTAAACATAGATAATTAGATTCTGGTTCTATATCACTGTATCAAGGTTTGATTTTTAGAAAATTCTGCAAATAATCTCTTTTCTAGCGAGGCACATTGGTGCACATCTATGATCCCAGCGCACAGGAGGCTGAGGCAGGAGGATTGTTGTGAGTTCAAAGCCAGCCTGGCCTACATAGTGCGTTCAAAGCCAGCTTGACTTGCACGGCAAGACCCTGTCTTGAAAGAAAAAAAATAGTCTCTTTTTTAATTTTTTGAGATAGGGTCTCACTATGTCATTCAGGTAACCCAGGCTGGCCTTGAACTCACAACAATCCTCCTGCCTCAGTTTCCTGAATACTGGGATGACAGGTATTTTATGTACATGATGCTAAGCGCCCCATTTTTTCTCAGGGTTAATACAATAACTCTTTCACAGTATGTCTTTAACGGTTGAATTACATTTCATTTTGTGGGATATATGAAAATTTGTTTAACCACAAAATAGGGTTCTTGCCCCCTCCCCGTTTATGGCTATTTTAAAATTTACGAATCTTGCACAGCTATTGTGCTACAGGAAGGGGCCAGAACTTGCCTAGTTATCACTTTTTGCACACTAAATCTCCAACCACCAACAGGACTGCCTGACTAACAGTTATTTAGGGACAAAGAAGTGACTGTTTAAATAAACAGGGAGAGAAAAAAAGGCTATAATGGGACTTAGCATTTCTAAAATATATAAGATTCTCTTATTGTTCCTTCATTATTCACTCCTTTGTTCCTCATTCATTCATTATTCAACATTTTTTAGAAACAGATGCATCCGGGTTCTTCAGTCTGTCACTTGTCCCTGAGGGATCACATGCTAGTGATTTGTTTTCTCTTGAGCTTTGCTTGCCCACATATTACATGGGAGGATAATGATGCCTCTCAAGGTTGTTATGAGGATTTTACCCCATAAAGCAGGCAGAGCACTTTTTCCCACCTGAATCTCTCTTTTCTGTTGGTCATGCGCCATGGCAGATGATAATGAATTATCACACTGTAGCCTATAAATTAGTTTGTTGATGAGTGGGAAATGGAAAAAGGGATGTTCAAAAGATTAGAGTCCAGCCGGGCATGGTGGCGCACGCCTAAAATCCCAGCACTTGGGAGGCTGAGGCAGGAGGATCGCTGTGAGTTCGAGACCAGCCTGGGCTACATAGTGAGTTCCAGGTCAGTATCAACTGCATAGTGAGACCCTGTTCCCCACCCTCAAAAAAAAAAAAAAGAAAAAAAGATCAGAATCCAAGCCAGAAGAACAGGTCTTGCATTCTACTCAGTGGACTAATGAGCCCCTGTGGATCTTTCATCTGGCAGAGATCAGAAGATCGTGGGCTGGGGATTTAGCTCAGTGTTGTGGCTGCCAGCCTAGCAAGCTCAAGATCCTAAGTTTGATCCCTGGTACCAAAAAAAAAAAAAGAGGTCTTACAAGGATTCCCAACTCCTCACCGTGTCCTTGTGTGGGGACAGCCAAACGTAATCTGAATTTCTGAGCTGCAAAATGATAATTATGAGTTTTCATTTCCCCCTGCAGCTTTTCCAATGTTTCATAAGGAGTCTCCACTCTGTCTGGCTGCTTTTTTATTCCTCCTGGAATTTTTCTCTGGGCCTAAGAATGAAGAAAGAAGCCCTTGAGGCCTCCAACACTGTCATTGTCACCTCAGTCACCTCAGTGACTCCCAAGGGTCATTAGGCAGCCAGTGAGCAGCACTTGCGTCCTCACTACCAGAAGGATGCGGAGTCTGGAGGAGGAGGAGCCATTTCTCTCCTGCTGATGCGACACCCATGAACGTGCAAGGGACAGAGGAGGCTGTGCTAGCAGCAGCTCCTGGGGATATGTGGACCTCCCAGAAGATTGATGCTCTCGTCTACACGAAAACCCAGTGTGCCCAGACCCCAGCCCGTTGAGGGGGGCAGCCGAGGGTTTGCCACTGTACTCCTTCTCCTATTTCTGCCACTTGATTTGCAAAAAGACTTCTCAGTTTTTACTACAAATGATGCTCAATTATCCAGTGTGCGGCAGTGCTCGGGTCTCCTTTGGACACCACCCTTTTGACAACCACGGGCTTTGGGAAAAGCAATCCCCTCCACCCCCACGCCCTTCACCTTCACATGAAGTCAGATGCTTTATCTGCTCTTCCCCTACTTACCTTAATCCTCGCCGCTTGGTGCTGACCCTGGCATGACTCCAGGATGGTTCTTGCCGAGCCCAATGTCTTCAAACACAGTGGCCTCTCCTCGCTTCATACCCAACCTCCCTTTAAAAATCTCATTCCTTGCACTTCCTGGCCCACCAATAGCCTTCCCTCCTCTTACAGTTTTGGCATATTTTTATCACTCTCCCTTGTGAGCCTCTATCGGCCCATTTGTTTTTAACAAATACAATGTTATGTGCACCCAAGCCCCATAGGAAACGTGAAACAACCAGTTTGCCTGGCTGAAACGGGGTGGTAGCGGTGTGGTGTGAGGCCCGTACTTCCCTTCCCTTGTTTGCTTCCCCCAAATTCTGCCCAGCTCCTCTCCACAAACCCAGGGCTCAGAAACACAATTTGCAAACTGGTCTTGAATGAGAAGGTGCTGCGGGACTGTGTAGGTCCCTCTCCTCTCATCCCGGTCCCTCCTCCCACCCCTTTGTAACACTACCCTTTCTCCAAATGTGTGGAAGGCAGCTGTCTCCTAATTCTCCTCTCAACAGCTGAAGACAGACAGATGGAAACCAAAAGAAAAACAGTCATCTTTATTATTGCAAGGCTGATTAGTGAGCAAAGCTTTTAATCTACAGCCAAAGGGATCTCATATCCTTTCTGGGGTCAACTCAGCTGCCAGTCCTGGGAAGACCCTGGTGTTCGAAAGTGTGGTTTCCTAACGGGAGAGCCATCTAGGCTGCATGCAGGCTGCAGCATGCTTATTCCAGGGGAAGGGGCGAAGATCTCCCACTGTTGGGAGATGGAGGTGCAGCTCACCGGTAAAGCACTTGCCTCACATGCACAAGGCCCTGAGCTCTGTCCCCTGCACCGAAGAAACTGTTCCTTCCATGGGAAGAGGCAAGAATGGACCAGCACAGTGACTAGGGACATGAACCTCCACCAGAGGCGGCTCTCCAAGGACAGTGACAGTAGCCTTGCTCCATACATAGAGCAATTCTGCCCATGAAGAATGTCTCCCTCCTCCTGCATGATCTTTGAATGTCCTGCCAGTCATTCTACCTGGATGAACAGTGGCTACTATGATCCGAAACTAGACCGTAACCTGTTTTTACATAATGAAAATAGTTCTTGCGTGATTTTAATGAACACCGTATACCAAATTTTCTAGAAAAGCCACATGAATTGAGGGTTGAGTATACTTTGGTGGATTGGGAATTTCCCTGGGGCCTGTTCAGTATTTCAGATAGTATGACACTTTCTGATGACAGCAATTCCCATAGTATTTTGCCACCAGTACAGTAGAGCACACCTGTATCGGGCAGCGTCTGTGGCTGTGGCCTTCATGGTGTTTTCATGTACAGTATAAACGTCTGACTGCCCAGTTTTGGCTTCTGGTCGTCTTGTGCCTGAATGTTGCTCGGATTCCCTGAAGGTGCCGTGCTCTCTTTCCCCCTGGACTTTGTACTTCCTTGTTCTCTTTACCTCCCTCGGAAGCACCCTCAGCAGCCCTCCCCTGGGTTTCCAGAACACTCACACTCCATCTGCTGCCTCTTCTGGGTGAATTCTGCCAGGGTAGGGAGAGCGGGCTGTCCACCGCTGCATCCCGGGTGCTAGGCCCGGTTTCTTTCCCTTAACAATCCCCCTTTGAAGGGGATTTGGGTCTGTACTTTCACTTTGAAATAAATAGCGTTTATCAGAAAGCGATAAAGCTCAAGTCCATTAGGGTCTAATGGGGACAAACGGCTGAATCACCCCCATCAAGTCAGTCAGAGCCAACTTGAGGTGAAATAAAAATCTCAGGTAGAAGGAAATTTTTCCTCCAAGACTGTCTTGGGAGGTCATGTCTTCCGTTCTTAATGTCTCTGTCAGAAAATCAATTATTAAATTATTCATACAGTCAGATCGGGTCATTCGGAAAGCAATCTTCATAGTGAGTGAAGCTTTATCAAGGTTGACATGATTCCAGATATCAGAACAGATTAGTTTTATAATTTAATACTTAATCTATCCTCACAGTGCAATGATGAAAAAGACGTTGCTGCTACCTGGGTACTGAGAGAATCGAAGGCCTTCTTGATTGTCTTTATCCTCTCATCACCTTACCAAGCGAATAAAACTTGATGGTAATAAAAAGAGACACATGAGATAGTGCTCATTTGGGGTCACAGTGCTAATTTTTAATCATCGGCAGCAGGGCTGCCTCTCTCCACCCCCATTGGCTTCACGCTGTAGACGCAGGCGCACAGTGGCCCAGAGGAGCTGGGCGGAGCCCTGGGGGCCACGTGGACCACACGTCAGACCAGGTGGCTTAAAGCTCGTGAAGGTCCTGACCTCCTCTCCTCCGTTTGTGTTTTTGGTGAGGCAGCCTCTCCAGACCTTATTTTCTTCCATGGTAACAGGAGAGAGGCTGCCCGCCTCACCGAGCGGTGGGGAATTGAAAGAACGGTGGGCGAATGGCCCCTGGAACCCCAGAGATTCTCACTGCGGGCGGGTCCCTCTCCATGGAGACGCCAACTCCGGGTTCTTTCTCCTCTCCTCTCCTTTAACACCACCTTTGTCCAGACAGGACGGAGGGAGTTCTCCTTTCTCCTACTCCTAGAGCCCCCATTAGCGTCGGTCCTTCCTCCGGAAGTCTCTAAGGTGATCATTGTGATGTACGTCAGCAGCATTAAGGAGATTTATGTGTTGCATAAAATGACGGGCAGTGCTTAAAGGGTGGCAGGGCAGAGCGAGGCTTTCTTCACTGAGATTTCCAGTGGCTTTGGAATTTGGGGATAAATCCAGCTTCACCTTTTACAGAGACCCCAATTCCATTTACAAGGACATGATCAGAATTCGCTAAGCCGCAAAACACTGTTAGTATTTTGAGTCTCCTCAAATTCACTAACCCTGTGCCAGATTCATTCACCCTGCACCGTGATGGCTTCTTCCGTTGGGGTTATCAGCGACAGGACAGGGAATGACTCTCTGTGTTGCTCTATCTCCTAGGACTGCCTGACACCTGGTAGGTCCTCGTAGCATAGCCCTTGAACGAATGAATGAAGAATCCATCTCATTCAGTCACGGAGCCCGTACAACATTGAAACCGACTTGCTGCTCGGAGCACCCGACCCAGGATTCTGTACCCCTCGAGGCTCTCTGCCCAAAGACTTTTCCAAATGTTAACCAGAAGGCAGCTGGGATAGCGTCTGCCTGTGGGAGCCACCTATATCCGGAAGCCAGTTCCCTTCTGCTGTGGAGTACCGCAGAGTTCACCCTTGATTGGACAGGTAGAGAGGATTCAAGAAAATGCGCACCATGGAGAAAGCCAATTAAAGCCCAAGTGGAAGGAATTTAAAGGCCTGCCGTAATTCTGCATTCTAAGGGCAGAGGCCCACGTCTCACTCTTCCCGATGCCAAGGCTTGTTTTTCTAACCTTCTCAGTGCTTTGGAAATGGGTTTTTGTTGTGGTGAAATACTGGCCACACCATTATCTGTGGCCCTTACTTTAGTAAATGAGAAAATGTGAGAAATGTCTCTCTTTGTGTTAAGTTTACCAGATTTACAACTTAAAAAGGAACTGGGTAGAATGGGAATTGTTGGGGAATCAAATATACAGGGGCTAGAACAGCCCAATCATCCTCACCAGCTCTGAAGTGCTGCGGCTGTTGTCGAGGGAAACATTATGGGAAAATCTCAATTAACCACACACCAACCTTCCAAGAACCTTAAATAATTTGACAAAACACGAGACAAGACAGCCCTTCTCCAAACTCCCAGGGGAACTGTAGCTGTGTCCTGTGCTCAGAGCACATATGGTCAGCACTCTGCATATTACTATAATATTATAATATGTCATTCAACAATGAGGAGTGGAGCCTGAGGGTCTGGCTCAGGGCCTTGCGTATGGCCTGGGTTCGATCCCCAAGACAGAAACAGAAAAAAATGAGACACGTTGGGAACTGAGAGGGTCTTAAGGTTCTAGGCTGCCCAGAAGAACTCTGCGTGATGGAAATGTTCTAGAACTGCACTGCCCACCGCAGGAGGAAAGCTGAGTGCAGCTCTTGTGCACTTAGAACGTGGTGAGATACACTAGGAACTGCATTTTACATTTGGGTTTAATTTAATTGTTAGACATCGCAGCTCTATAGTATTTTAAATCAGTAATATATTGTTTTTAAAAAATATGTTATTTATTTAATTTTGATTATTTGAAATCGGGCCTTCTTATGTAGCCAGGAGCAGCCCTCACAGTCCAGTCAGGCTGATCTGGAACTTGAACTCCTCCTGCCTCAGCCTCCCAAGACGTATGCTACCACATGCAGCTAATAATATGTTTTTGTGTTGAAATATTTTAAACAGAGAAGTACAGACAGTATTGTAAACCACCAACTGGAATGAATGTATGGTTAACTTTTTGTTGTATTTGTTTCAGGTATTTACAAAGGAATGAAAAGTTTCAAAGGGGAAATCAAGCATTAACAAATCAGGCCAGAGGATGGGGTTATGGGTCAGTGGTAGAGTGGGTGTTTCTCACTAGCAGCCTGCGGGTTCAATCCCAGCACAATCCACAAACAAAACATAAATAAAAAGATACAGTTGAAGTTTCTCTTTTCAGATCCCAACGAGAAGCATGTGTATCCTCCCTATCCATATTGTGTAATTTAACTCTTTATAAACACTCTGAAGCATTATTTGTTTAAACATTTTAAACAAATGGCTTGGTCTTATATATGTATCTCTTTCTGCAGTGTATTTTTGCCACTTATGATATCGGACCCCACCCATGTTGACATATAAAAATCAATTTCTGATAGACATAAATCAATTTACTTTGTTTTTAGTCCCTCTAGAGACTTCTACATCATAATATGCCACAATATATGTATCTAGCCCCTCAAGAATGGCAAATTTGGATTGTTTCTAATTTTTTTGTATTAAAAAGAATGCTAGCTAGGTGAGGTGGTGCATACCTGTAACCCCAGCACTTGGGAGGCTGAGGCAGTAGGATGGCCTTGAGTTTGAAGCCAGCCTAGGTTACATAGTGAGTTCAAGGCCAGCCCAAACTGCATAGCTAGACCTTATCTTAAAAGAAAAAAATGCTGTGATGAACTTCCTGGTATATTTTTTCTTGGGCTTAGTAAGAGAATTTCCATGTGCTCACTCATATTTCTTACAATTACTGACACATCTAAGACTGTTTTGGCTTTTATCAGCTTATTTATTGTGTCTTTCCTCTGTTTGCTATGTTTTTCATTTGTTTCTCCATCCTCTTCATTTTCTTTCCCCATTCAGATGTTAAACACTCAATTTCTATTCACTTGGCAGTTAATTATTAGCAAGTATGGATAAAGGCCTCAATCTAATCAATATCTCTATTATTCTCTTATACAACACAGGGAACTTAGAATGATTTAACTCTTAAACACCTCTTCCATCTTCTTCTCCATTGTTGTTGGCCAATAACTGAATCCACCTTTAAAAAATTTCCCCGCGGGTCATCACGATTGTTCTAGTTATAATTTTAAAGTCAATATTGTTTAGACTTCCCGACTTTTTCATCAGTTTCTTGGCTCGGTGTCTGCTGTTTGTCACTCGTGCCTTCCTTCTTGGTTTGGTTTCTGGTTGAGATCTTACTTCTTTTCATAAGAGAATGCTAGCAGTAAGATTTTTGTGGATGTTTATGTCTAAGATGTTTTCTCCTCACTGTGTAGTGATTTGGCCTGGATCCTGTTAGTCCCCGTGCTCTCCTGTCTGTTCCCCTGTGGGACTCCTGGTCAGTGTCTGGAGCGCATTATGCCTCTCTAACTTCCTTTCACACCTCTGTCTCTCACCTCTGAGAGTCTGTTAGTTCTCTCTCTTCTGATTGGTGCATTAGGTAATGGGTCCGCTGAAATTTAATTTTAATGACTATTATTTTTTATTTCTAGAAGTTCAGCTGAATTCTTATTAACATTGCCCAGTATCCTCCTTAATGTTGTCTTCTTTCATTTCATTTTTGTTCCTGCTTTTATGCATTTTATTCTTTTATATCTTCCCGTGTCTGAACGACCAAATTGTACGGTCTCTGCAATTGCTTTACTTCTGCAGTTCTTGGTTCTGAATTTTGTCACTCTGGTTGTGTTTGCCAAGTTTGTCTTGCAGCAGTCACTCCATGAGTTTGGTAACATTTGTATTGTTAGCTTTGGTGTGAGTGGCGTTGTTTGAGACCCTATAGGAGTCTGTTTTGGGTTAGTGTCTCAGCATGGCTTCTGAGCCCTTGGTGTGTGCACTGAGACTGCACGTGCACGTCTGATGCCCGGGGACAGTCGTGCACTGTCTTTGCAATGCGTCTCTGACTTTCCATGGTCTTGGATGATGGTCAACTCCTTGTTGCATCCCTGGCCCATGTAAGGGCTTCTGTTTCATGGCTCCTGGCTTCATTCTGAGCAGGAGGCACTCAGCTCCAGCACCTGCCTCTCTTGGGTTAAGGCCTTGGGTATTTATTTGTTTAATCATCCATCTTTGCAGTCTTTAGCTGGTTGGTTCCTTTTATTTACAACTCC